TCAAGTTATGTCCTCATGTGCAAGGAGACCTATTTTCTTGCCTGCCATCTCGTCCAAATGGACTTTTCTGGTAACTAGAAAATATAAGGATAGCTTCAAGGGAGATGTTGGAAGGTGTTTGCAGCTGTGAGTCACTTTGTCTAACACCTGCCATCACAGATATTTATTCGATGATGTCAACACAGGTTTTCGGATGTTACCGGTGTACATATACTTAATAATTTTAAAAGTAGAGTCAGGAGTTCAGCGTGTTCTACGGATCGTTGATGTCTGACCGTGCGATGACTTGGATTCATGGGTATGTTCAGCATGTCCCTCCTTTCGACTCGCTTATGTATATATCTGTTTATGGTGTTATACTGTTCTGACCACCTTCTAAACCTATTGCTTAGAACTCCACAGTATAATATGAATAATTTTTCCAGTGACAGCGGGCCTCCAATTTTGTATTCATCGGGGTTCTGACTCAAGCAAAATACGGGTCACAACCTTCATAGTTTGATGGCGCTGGTAAGCGTTAAAGAGCTCGGCGACATGGAGTGATCCAAGATCTTTTCATCTGAGTATAACATATGTAAGTTTGTTCGTCCTTGATGCAGAGTTCGTCATATGGCAGAATTCAGTCCAGACTTCCAGACTTTGGTGAAAAGTCTTAGTTCATATTCGAAGCTGTCAGACGTAAATTTGGAAACCGCCTCTAATTCTAGAGGAGTTTCTGTTGTGGTCGTATATCTAACCGCGAATGTGTCTTCCAGCCCAGCCAAAGTAATGGGATATGCTGACTTTTATTCCTTGTTATTGTCCTAACGTTTCTGGGTATAGCTTTTGTACCTTACTGCTAGAGATAGGTTTGTTTTTGTGTTTGTATATGTTCCCGGTGATATGGTGGCTATAGTTAGGTTATGCTTGTTTTCCATGTCTGTTATGAGACGTTCAGGTGTGTCGCATGTGCCATTGTGGTGTTCTAAGTGTGGGTATGTGAAGAGAGACGAGTTTCGATGGATCTGTCATCTAGGACTATATACTCTTCTATAATCTAGCCCTAAGATACGATTCCTGTGAGACAGCAAATTTTGTGGAGGCCTCGGAGAATTATTTTTACGATAAAGTAGCATGAGGTGGTCCGCAATCGTAAGTATTGCATCATTGACTTCACTGACTCATGGTCTCACTTTCGATTTATTTGCGTCGACTAATGCCAACCCTTTTCATTGTTTCTGTGTATGGAGCATATCTAATAGTTGCTGAACGCCTGTAAAACAAAATGCTTGGAGACCACAATAGTGGGCTGCAGAAGCCACCATATCCAGTATCACTACTTGTCAGTTGTCTGTTCGGTTTCCTTGTAGGGGATCACAACGTTCTGGGCGTTGAGGATGCGCGGGCGTTTAGTGCGTTGTGTAATTGTCTCTTTACGTATCAGATCTGGTTCAGTATGGACCGAAGAGTTCCGTCTGAGAGGAACCGACGACGCCATCGCCTCTCGTACTTTTAAAATGGTGTCATCCCATAGTGGTGGCATCTTTACGTAGTGCGAGTCAATTTGCCAAAGCGTGATGTCGTGGATGTGAATTAACGTGCTGTGCTCATGTTGCTGAAAGCTTATTACTGCTTTCCGGAAAATCTTACTCTTAA